CCTTCGAGCGTTTGCAAAAATCATCACCACAATCATTACAGTTGCATTAAGTTGGTCTTCGCAATTCACCCCTGCGCATGATCTCGGAGGAGATCGAAAGTACTTGGGTTCGCAAAAAAACATGGCACCTTCCTTGATGGTTTTCAACTTATCATCAAAAAGATAATTATAGAACTACAAAGGATTATTGTGGAAATCAATCGACATAATGTCTATATTATTTAATGAAGTTTGCTTTAACGAAGATATGCTGCCTAAATATATATGTATGTGTGGGGTGTATGTATGTGTTATGTGTGTGTGTGTGTGAGCTTGTTTGTATTTTTTGTTTAAGAAGAAAGATGACTTTCCGTTTCGATATTACTTAAAGAAAAACGTTTCGAACGCAGCATTTTTTGTCGATCTGATCCACTTAGAAGATTTCTGAAATACAATGTTGCAGTCCTCATTAAAACATTGTCAATAGTGATGCATGCTGGAGCGATTTACCTGCTTGAAAATGATTATTCGAAACCATGGCTTCTATATATAGACTCGAACGCAAACTTGATTCCATTCAAGAAATATGAAAAGGCATCCATTGGTGACATATCAGGGCTGGAGCTACCCAGTCTTGCTTGTCTTTATAGAGTTCAAACGTCTCTCCGCGAACTTGAATGATTTTTCACCCTACAACCATTTCCCACAGAAGAAAATTAACGACGCTTACGCTACTCTAACGCCGTTTCCATGGCATGTGTTCTAAAACTCTGTATTCTTTATTCCCACCAGGATCAGTGAAGATCAATCTCATTTCCCAGTCTTAATTGATCTAGCAAGCGAGACATGCGAAACAACACCACGTGGCAATGCCCAAATGATTTTCTAAGCGTAACTTAGATGTGTCACAAGGCTGAATGTGTGGAGCATTCAGTAAGTTTCAAATCACCACTCAGTCGTGATTGATCCTGCGAGGCAAGCAGGCTAGCCATTACACCATATCGAAATGATTTTCTAAGCGTAGGTTAGATGTGTCCCAAGGCAGAACATGTGGAGCACCAAGTGACGATAAAACTCATTATCACTTGTTATTGACCTAGAGAGGCAAGCATGCTAAACATTACACCACGTCGAAATGCCCAAATGATATTCTAAGCTTAGATGTGGCACAAATCAAACGTGTGGAGCACGCAGGAAGGATCGAACTCACTACACAATCTTAATTGATATTGCAAGACAAGCTACTAACTATTACACCACGTAGAAGTGCCCCAGTGGAAGGTTAGTATAAAAGAAATCTTATTTCCTTTTCCAATTATAGATATGTTTTTTCGATATTTTTCTTCTTCTTCACCCAATTCAGAAATAAATTTTAATAACTAGAGTTTTCTTTATATTTCCTTTTATGCGTAAATATTGTAATGAAAGCAGGACAAGAGATTCTGTCTAGTAATCGTTTATTCAATTAAGAATGCTACTACTAGTCTACCTGACAAACGGAAATGTATAGCTTTTATAGTTGGATTATCAAGGGGGAGATAATCCATATTCACAACATTCTCCCCCACCAAATTTCTCACTGATAGGGAAGAAAGTCCCTTAAATGTCCAGGCTCCCTACGAGCTCGCAGTGGCCGTCTCGGCAGTCCTTGATTCGTGGTCGGAGTACTCGAACAGGGAGGCTCTTCAGTGTGAGCCTGTCTGTGGGCTCTAAAATATCTTGCTCCGAAATGTTTCCTTCTCAGAGGAGCAGGCCGTTCCGCGTCAGAGTCAGTCTCTGGATGAACATGTTTATTCGGTGCTAGTCCTTTATCTGTCAGGGATTCAGGTGTTGGCCTATCCGAAGTGTCTGATAGAGTCTCAACGGAGACAGTGTCATGATCTGCCGCAGGGGCTTCAGTGTCAGGGGTAGCTGGTCCTTTAAAATCAAGATTGAGTCTTTCAAACGGTTGTGTTGCAATATTTATTTGCATTTAAAATACAAAATGTGGCACAAGGCCAAAAAGGGGGATGGGGAATGACGGTCTTCATCTGTCTTAAATCTAAACTTAGCTAGTCGCAGACACTGACCCAAACATGCCAACAATAATCCAATCACCAAAACAACACATTCACTCCTACCTTTCTTACTACGTCCACCATAATACCTCAGTTTCTCTATGAAGTCCTAACTAATCCCCTTATTTACAGATATTGTTCATGGGGGAGGGTCATAAAATAACAACTTTTAAAATCCCCAAATGAATATTTACAAAGTGAATTAATTATTTACAATAAACTAAACAAATTTAAGTTAGTAATAAAACCCCCCACAAACTATGAATGTGGCAGAAATATCAGTTAACCGGACGAAATCGATGCGGGACTAAGAAAATAAGAAAACATTCAAACCATCAAGCATTCACACAAACACTCACTCATTCATACACAACAACAAATACGAAAACACACACACGAAACGAAAGGCGCCCCGCATCCACCAGAAAACTGACATCACTAACCACCTAACGAGGGAGGGGATGGGGAATTAAACAAAAGAAAAAAATAGAGACAGAAATAAAAGGGACCAATGATCTTACATACCCTAGCTAAGTTAACCGGGGAAAAAAAGGGAAACTAAAAATTCAAAAACGAAAACCTAGTCTAGCCTAATATCTGGGTGGGTTGCCTATGTTCAACCCTGTTAGGACAAAATTATGTACCTAACCGACATCCAAATGCCACTCTAGGTCAGCCCCTTTCACTCTACACATTCGCGCAAGATTCACCCACCTTTTGCCGAATTCTGATGATGGGAGCCGCCGCCTTTCCGTCCTAATCTTGACTTTAAGCTGATGCTTAAAGTACAAGATCAGTTGGGAAGAGGTGAACTTCTCGCCTTCATAGAATCCCTTCTGTCGCGTCGTCCAAATCACGACTCGCATAACCCCTAGTAAGCAACAGAACACATAGTGTTCAGCCTTCGTCAATTGCGATACCACATTGCTACAAACAGAACTGGCTTCAGGACAAAAAACTTTCCCTGCAGCATGCGAACCATGAGGCCTTCAACAAACTTGCACAACGGCACTACCGTCTTGCACTGAAAAAAGGCGTGACCAATGGTCTCGACATTCCCAGTACAGCGACGACAGTTTGGATATTTCTCCAAGCCTGCTGAACAAAGTCTTTTGCCGACCCAGAGGGCCCCACGAATCATCAGCCAGGTGAGTGATGCCTCATCGTTATTGAGACATTTCAACCCAGGCGCCCAAGGCCATATCGAGCGAGCCTCCTGCTTCGTAAGACCGAGCTCGTCGATCAGACCATCTTGAACGGACCCCCTAACTAACTAACGATATAAACGATATAAAAACGGTTGTGTTGCTTTTATTAAAACGCCCGTTTTGGGTTTATAAAACCGAGGCTTTATTTTAGCACAAGTTCGACAAGAATTTGTAATTCTTTTTACCTCCTCCATTGAGAAAGGCAAGTTTTTACACCTCACAGCATGAATCATTCGAGTAATGCCCGGGTGACAGAGATTGTTATGTAGCGTTCGGAGTTCGCCCCCGCTTGATGCCGTACAGCATGCTCTTGATAGTGTATCAGCTGTTAAGTTCTCCTTGCCAGGTCGGTAGCTGATGTCAATGAATTTTTTATTATAAGAAAAACGTCTGCTTCTCACTGCTATGGGTTTGCAGTTTTCAGTTAGGTTTTTGAAAATTGACTGCTACCGGATTTTTGCTGTCGCCAATCCACAAACTTTCAATGCGGGCATTGAACCGCCAAACGGAATTTCAATCTGTGAGTGTTGCTGCAAAAAATCGTGTCCCAGTATTATTTCGCAACAAGGGTTTTTCATTACGTATAATTTAGTAGTTTTATAGGAAACCTCATTAAATAGTAAGTCCACCAAACAATAACCACTTACTTGCGCAGACGATGATGCGTTTGCCATTGTTACTCTGCTGGGGGAGGGTACAAAATACAATTTTTTGGTTTTTACCAAGCTTTCTTTGATAAAGTTTTCTGAGCTCCCGGTGTCGAGCAGAGCATTTGTAGACCTCCCGTAAATTTTCACTTTTATAATAGTTTTTGAAAGGCAGTTGGGGGAGGCGGCTAAAGTTGCAGATGCATTTTGACGCGTGGCTTTGTATAGAGATTTAGAAGACTTGCACACCTTTTGAAAAATGACCAAGTTTTCCACATTTATAACAATGAGTATCTCTGGCAGGGCATGAGACTCGTAAGTGTTTAGATAAGCTGCAAAAGTAGCAGGTGTCCCTTTTTGAAGCGGCAGTGACCGACTGTTCTTGGAGCTTCGTCGGACTATCGTCATGAGGTGGGGTAGTAGGAACACGTGGGTTTAACGCGACGCCCACGGTGTCTGGCTGTAAATAAAAACTAGACTGCTGTATAGCACTTTCGAAGATATAGGCTTGCTCGTAAGCAGTTCTAAGTGTAAGGGTCTTATTCTCAAGAAGCCGTTGTCTTATCCGAGTATTACGTAAGCCGTTAATGAAGGCGTCCAAAATGTGTTGCTCTTGGGCCTCTAAAGCCGTCATTGGGCAGAAGTTGCAATCTTTGCTCAGTGTCCGAAGGCTCTTAAGGAAATGGTCCAATGTTTCGCCTGATTCTTGTCGGCGAGTCGCAAGTAGGTGTCTAGAAAATATCTCATTTTTGGGCTTTATGTATGTAGCGTTCAGTACATCGATTGCTTCTTCGTAGGTAACGCAATCCGAGATAATTTCGTTGACTGTGTGAGACAGGTAGTTGGTTAGGAGCGTACGCTTATTGGTGGGACGTAGAACCTCGATGAAATTTGTAAATGTCTCCCGCCAATGTTTCCAGCACTTGTCAGCTGAATCGCTTTCTGGATCTGTGGTAAGTCGCTCCGGTCGCAGAAATTGTTCCATTCTTAATTGAATAAACGATTACTAGACAGAATCTCTTGTCCTGTTTTCATTACAAATATTTTCATTCTTTTCTTTTGTTTCAGGTTTTCTCTGTTTTGAAACGATGTTTTTTTCCTTCATTTAGAATCTATCTTTTTTTTCTTTTCATTTATTTACTTAACTTTTATCGTTCTTTTGGAATCCTCCTTCTTGTTATTCTGTACATTCACTTCTTTCATTTTTTCCCTTCTTTTGAAATCATCCTTCTTATTTTCATCATTCAGTTCTTTCCTTTTATTCCTTCTTTTGAAATACTCCTTCTTGTTATTCTCTTCATTCAGTCATTTTTTTTTTCCTTCTTTTGAAATCCTCCTTCTTGTTATTCACGTCATTCTTTTACTTCCTTTTTTCCTTCTTTTGAAATCCTTCTTTTTATTATCTTCATTCAGTACTTTCGTTTATTTTCTTTGTTCGTTTAGAAACCTACTTCTTGCACGTCTCTTCATTCAGTTCCTTTCTTTGTTGTTCTTTTGGAATCATCCTTGTTGTTTGTTATATACGAATAAAGTGCCACGACCGACACTGGAATTTGAACACAGATCACCAGAGAGCCAACACAGGCGATCTTATTTTGAATAGGAAGATCACGTAATAGAAAAGGAAATGTATACATGGGAATTAGCGTGTTGTCTAATTGATCATCATCTCTACCCTATCTTCTATTACTATACGGATCAATATTTCTACACGATCCTTAATCCGGCTCGTTATTCACTATACTATTTCTCTATACTAGTAAATACATGGTTTACTATCCGGTGGTTATTTTTCGAGCGAGTATTATCGAGCAAGTACTATTAGTGCGAGTGCTATTCGAAGGCGTTTGACACCAGTATTGTTCAAAGGCGTTACTATAGCTGTATCTATGATTGCAAAGTCTCTACTACAATGAGCATTACGAAAGTGACAATGAGTATTCATTGACATTAGAAAAGTGACAACAAATGTTCTTTGACATCACAAAATTGTTATTCTTTTCATTCATTTCCTTCATTTTTTTCGTGCTTTTCTTCATTAAATTCTTTATGTTTTTCGTTCATTCAGAGTACTCTGCCTTTCAGAATAGTCTTCATTAAACTGCTCCGTCTTTCTTCGTTTCTTTAAAAATCACAATTGTTGTTATTCTCTTCATTCAGTTCCTTCCTTTTTTTCTTTCCTGCTATTAAATCAATTCGTTCTTTTTTTCGTTCTTTTAAAATACTTCTTCTTTTTATTCCCGTCATTCAGTTTATTCCTTTTTTTTCTTTCCTTTGGAAACCAACTTCTTGTTATATTCTTCATTCAGTTCTTTTCATTTGTTTTCTTTCTTTTGGAACTCTCATTTTGTTAGTCTCTTCAGTCAGTTGCATCTTTTTTGGTTCTTTTTGAATCGTCTTTCTTATTATTCTCTTCATTGCGTTCCTTTCTTTTTTTCCTTGTTTTGAAATTATCCTACTTGAAATAATTTCTATTCAGTTCCTTGGTTTTTTATGTTCTTCTGGAATACGAATTCTTGCTATTCTTTTCATTCACTTCCTTCCTTTATTGTTCTTTTGCAGTCCTGCTTCTTGTCATTCTATTCATTCACTTCCTTCCTTTATTGTTCTTTTGGAATCCTTCTTCTTATTCCATTCATTCAATTCCTTCCTTATAGCCGTTCTTTTGTAGTCCTCCTTTTTTCATTCTGTTCATTTAGTTCTTTCTTTTTTTTTTTTTCTTTAGACATCCTCATTCTCATCATTCTCTTAATTATGTCCCTTCTTTTTATCATTCTTTTGTAATTCTCCTTCTGGCTAATCTTTTCATTCAGTACCTTTCTTTTTTCGTTCTTTTGTAATCCTCCTTCTTGTTATTCTCTTCATTCATTCCCTTCTTTATTTACTGTCTATTCATTCAATTCATTCCTTATTTTTAGTTCTTTTGCAATCCTCCTTCTTGTCATTCTCTTTATTCTGTTCCTTCTTTTTACCCCTTCTTTTGAAATCATCTTTCCATTAATTCCTTTCCTTCATTTTTCCCTTCTTTTCCAATCCTCCTTCTTGTGGTTCTCTTTATTCAGTTCCTCCATTTTTTTAGTTCTTTTGTAATCCTCCTTGTAGTTATTCTTTTCATGTAGTTCCTTTCTTTTTCTGTTCCTTTTTTTTATTCCCCATGCTTGTTATATTCTTCATTCATTTCCCTCTTTCTTTTTATCGTCCTTTTACAACCGTCCTTCTTGTTCTTCCCTTCATTCAATTCTATCCTTGTTTTCGTTCTTTTGTAATCCTCCATCTTGTTATTCTTTTCATTCACTTCCTTCCTTTTTCATCATTTGCCTTATACGGATCGTAGTTGTCTTGCTTCAAATTCATTCCAACTTTCTGTTAATTCGTCAGTTTCCTCACATTTTTTAAAACTATTTTCCCTTTTCTCACCCTTCTTACCATTCTCCTTTCCTGACTTTCCTATTTTTTTGTCCCTTTACATGCGCTTCTTCATCTCATCCTCATCGGCCTTGATTTTGTAACATCTTTACTTACCCCTCCCTTCTCTGCTCTCCAGCTTTATATTATTTTAATTGTTCTTTCTTTCTTTCTTTCTTTCTTTCTTTCTTTCTTTCTTTCTTTCTTTCTTTCTTTCTTTACCTAATCTACCCTTCTGTTGGATCAACTACTCCCCCACAACAACGAACTGCAAAAGAAGGCTAAATATGAAAATAAAATAAAAAATTACACCAAACGAAGAACGGGGAATCTTTTCACTTGTGGCTAATTCATTTTGAGCAGCTGTCAAAAAATGACCGCTCAACTTGATCCACCTAAGAAGGCGAAGAGACAAGTCAGATTCAAATTGATTGGCCCAAATGTGTGCATGTGTGTATGAATTTTTGAGGTTGATTATGCTTATTTAAATAGCGTTGTTTGCGAAAATAAAAGGATGGGGATGCTCGGTAATGGTAAGCGGCTCAAAACTAAAAAAGCAGCAATAGGAGTTTGAATTCCGTTCGAGTTAAGTTCTATCGCAAAAAATACCCTTCTGAAATATGGATAGATCTCTTCTCTCAACAGCTACTGGTTTATATTTTATTTTATTTTCAGGCGAATCTAGCTAGTTGTGGTTGGCAACCAATCTAGGAGAAAGATAACTGTGAATTCAAAGCAACATATCTCTCTCATATATATATATATATATATATATGTGTGTGTGTGTGTGTGTGTGTGGTCATCCACAGACAGACACACCTGATCAGTGTAGCTAGACATCCGATTGCTTTAAGCCGAGATCGAAACCCGATTGATTCGGCAGCAGTCGGAGATTTTCCCCTAAGTCTTCGGCACACGTTTAAAAGAAGGGTGAACTTTTACGTGTTTACTCTGTGAATAAACATGCCAATCATTGACAGTGCTCAAATTCAAAGAAGAGAAGAACATTGTAAAATTAGTAGTAATAGTCACTGTTTACAAATTCGCTTATATACACTGCCACACACAAACACACTGCCACACACACACACACACACACACACACACATATATATATATATATATATATATATATATATATATATATATATATATATATATATATATATGAATATGTTCCACAGAAGGTCATTATATCAAGTGTGTGGGTCACTTCTGACAAGTTTAGGTTTACCTTAAACAAATTCACGCCATTGGCTTTTTCTTCTACTCGGATTTTCTTTCATCTTCAACCGACTCTACACCCCTACCCGTATCCATACCCTCTTTTAAGCCAAACGCCAATAGGGTATGGATAGGGATAGGTTTTTGTAAAACTGGATGCTTCTAGTCCTGAACCTGCACATTGGCGGTGAATGTAGACATCAACACCATCCGTGACAAAGTGGAAAATTTTTAATCAAAGACGTGTTTCACCGGTGAAAAACTTAGGTTATGTTGTCATTGACGTTATCCGTACAACTAAAAGAAGAAAGACAAAACTACGTGTTAGGACAGTGTTTTGGGGATCTCTGAGGATAAGTTGTTTTTCTTAAATCATATTAATCACCCTCCTGGCTTATCATGCACATGTATTCGCTTGACATTTGAAGATAATCTGTATGTCTCTGTGCTTGTTTGTTTCATCTATATCTCTTTATATACACATATATGCCCACATACACATAAAGCCATACACACATGCATATATACATACATGAACACACGCACACACATGCATAATATATATATATATATATATATATATCTATATATCTATATATATATATATATATATATATATATATATATAATTAATCAGGCCCAGAATAATCTTCAACAGAATGCAGAAAGCAGACGGTCGTTTCGTTCTATTTGGGACGCGCATCATTAAAAAAAAAATTCTTCATTTCATATATCCTTGCTTGACCCAGCTAATGCTCGTGAGAAGCGGCTAAGTGTCAATAAGTAGTCGTGGCTCTTGGAGCACTCGAGGTTATCCGTATACTTGGATGAGTATCGCTGCGGAACTGAGTGAGTAGCGGCGCTATATCGAGTCTGGTTTGTGTCTTCGTCACCAAGGGCCGTGATACAGTTGGTATGACGTTTGCGTTGTATCGAAACGGTCCGGGTTCGATTCTCGATAGTGGATGCGCACTGCTGATGAGTCGCAATAAATATTTATTATAAACTGTTACATTAGAATATGCAAGTTACTACTAGTAGTAACCATCGTTTACTGCATGATAAGACCTGTTAAATGTCGAAACAAAATATGCAATATTGTAGTAGCAAGTTGCATGTTCTAATGTAAGAGCCTATAATAAATATTTATATCTAGCTATCTATATCTATCTCATTCAACATATATATATATATATATATATATATATATATATATATATATATATACATACATATGTAAGCAAATATATGGATATAGATCCGACAGTATGAAGAAAAATATACAGAAAAAAAAAGTCCGACGTTGACTTTATATTAACATTAATACAGCATAATTGCATATTAAGATTTTTGTTTGTTTTTCTGTATATTTTTCTTCATACATACATATATATATATATATATATATATATATATATATATATATATATATATATATATATATATATTGGGGTTAATAAATCATTTCGGCATACCACAAAAGCTGAACAAGAGACTAGAAAAACAAAAATCATTCATAAGCACGTCTGTCTGGATGAATATGAATATCAGGAAAGGCACCGCAACAATAGTCCACAAAGCTGGTCAGCTGCCCAATCTCCTCGATGGTGCCGAATCTTGGGTCATCTACAAACATCACCTACGCCTCCCAGAACGTTTCCATCACTGTTTCTACTTTATCATTATCAAAACTCACTAAGGTTATTTTAAATGCAAACACTGTAGTCCTCAGCAGCATCAGCACTGAAAAGATAACTTTACAAGTTAATTAAATCACATATTCAGAACCAAATAAGGGACGGTATAAAAATGGTGTTTCCTCCTTGATTAAAACTTAACTACATTGTCTGCTTGTAACTAGATGTTGATATTGATTATGAGGTGATATAAGAAGAAAAGAGGTATCACTTGAACTAAATGTTGGTAGTTATGTGTTTATGCTTTTAATAAGGGCATTGGAGTTGTGTTTAGTCCCAATGACAGGATTTAAATTATGAGGTTGTATTCGCCCATTGACTTGGAAAGAGTTATTCAAATTTAATAAGAAAATATGTAAATGATGTTAGAAAGGTTTTCTATATAAATTTTTAAATGGTATATCCCTTAAGGACGTGGGCGATCGCGGCTCTCCGTCGACCCCTTTACTTTATTAACTATTGTGAATAAACTTGAAAAAAAAAAATGAAGTGATTTCCACTTGTCTTCCGCAAGTTTTTGAATCCTGATTTTTTTCTTCTCGTAGACGGGTTGCCACGCACACCTACAGAGCCCATTGGACGCCGCCAATCAAACATATTGCTAGTGGGGAGAAGAGGAGGATTCGTGCATTTCGCGTGAACTTAACAAACTGGGTAGGAGTTTGGACACGATTAGTGTTCGCGTCGATAATTTTTATATTATCTGCGTCAACTCTTCAATACATATATGCATATAGAATTGATTAGCCGGATCGATATTTGTAGCCCGATTTCGATGTTTTTTTTTTTCTTGTATACGTACAGGAGACTTTTCTGGACTTAAGGAATTAAAAATTGTCCAATTTCTTTTGGTTCCGAGAGCTTTCGGATAACCACTCTCAAAGATTATTTTTTGTTTATACTGCTATAATGAATGGTATGAATGTGCTATTTCGGAAGGCAGAAAAATTGCAAAATTATATTCTAAATATACAAATACGGCCAGTACATTGTCGCAGTGTTCATAATGTTATTAAAGTTTGTTTTCTTATTTGTTTGCTTTTATATGTGTTTCCATCATTTATAAATGCATATATATATATATATATATATATATATATATATATATATATAGGTTAATGGTCAGAGTTGAATCAGACCAAGAAACAGTAGTATTAAGAAGTGCTCAATACACGTGAGAAAAAATAAGTAAAAATAAAAATAACATATAGAGCGTTTAAGATTAAAAATCAGGAGGTCAATTAAAATACGCGTATTTTGATTGACCTCTTGATCTTAAACTTATATATATATTATATATATATACATATATATAAATTCTTAAACTTATATATTTATATATAAATTCTTAAACTTATATATATGTATATATATATATATATATATATATATACACTGATGAGCTGCGATACAGCAAAACAGGCTTATATGTTGATAATTATATATGTGTGTGAGAGAGAGAAAAAGAGCGAGTGAAAAATTCAGATAGAGTATAACTGTAAAAGAACAATAAGAATAAAGATAACAGGAAAACGTTTTTTAGTCGACGCGTTTCGTCCTCTTTTTCGTTATCTTTCTTTTTTGTATTTTCATATATATATATATATATATATATATATATGTGTGTGTGTGTTTGCGAGTGCACGTGCGAGTGCTTGTGAGTGTGAAAATTCAGATATAAATACAATATATCTGTAAAAAAATAATATAAATAAAGATAAAAGAGAAACTCTTGTTTACCGTCACATTTGCCTTGATAAAATCCATCAGAGGACGAAACGCATCGGTAAAGAAAATTTTTCATTTTGTCTTTATTCATAAATATATAACCACGGCTCATTTCTGTATAAAATTCGCATACATATACACAGTTACCTACAAGTTGGAGATATACGTTTACGCGGATAAGAAAATTTACTTCCCTGATATTCATATGTCATTAATATTTATAACAAGCGTATGAAAACTTATACGTGCGCTGTTATAATATGTAACATCTTTGTTTTTGTTTTGACAAGTGTGGTTCTTTTTCAAATGTGGAAAGACAGTAGAAAAAAGAATAAACTAAATCATAAAAGTTGAGTTGCCATTTGTTAAAATCACGTTTCAGTAAAACTTGGAGAGGTGATAGGAATAAAAAGGAGAACAGGGGCGTTGACATTAAAAAAAAACAAAACAAAACAAAAAAAAAAAACACAATAAAAAACCTGATACAATTGACCGGAAAGATGTAGAGAAAAAAGAAATCCAAGATGGAGAAATGTCGTCAGTGAAAAGTCGGATTTGTATGAAGTATCAAAAGAAAGATATCGAATCAATAGGCATGCAAAATTTATAACGGGGAAAGGTCAGAAAAGGACCCAG